TTAGAATCCTATAATAATTTATCCTTCTCTCTAAGCAATAGCTGGCCCGGGTATTAGTATAATATTAACAGAAATAGATAGCTTACTTAAGGTACTCCTTCTAAATAAAGGCTTCTAATATAGTACTGTTTTAGATTTATTTATATAGTATATAAATAAAGCAGTATAACTTCTTTATTATTATTATAATAAAAGCTTCTCTCTTTTCTGCTCTTACTCTTTATCTATTTATCCTTTTTTTAAACTCTCTAACTCTCTCTTTTTATTCTATCTGTTTTATTCTTTAATATTAAGACTCTTAATATTTTCCTTATAGTTAATAACAGTAATAGTAGTATATTAAGCTTAGATATAAGTAGTATTAGTAATAGACTAAGCCTATAACCCTTAGATAGTAAGGAAGAAAAAAAGAAGAAAGAGGAAAAAGAAGAAGATTCTTCTTATAAGAAGGAGTATCTCCTTTAGAATATTACTCTAGAGCTATTCTTTATCTTCTGTATTAGATATATAGCTTATACTGTATTATATATACCTGTAGATATAGTTACTATAGTATATTATTAGTAGAATATAGTTATTTTAATTAAGTATTATTATTATAATACTAAAAGTAAGACTTACTTTTAGATATAAAATCTCTTTAGATTAGATTTAATTTTCTACTAACTTATAGTAGCTTTCTTAGGAAATATAGGGTAATATATATTAGTTTTACTTAATACTAGATTAGGCAGAGAGTATTTAGGTTAGAGATTCTGCTAACCTTAGTATTAGAATACTAATACCTACTTAGGGTATAGAGAGCAGAGCTATAGTAATTATCTTCTTTCTTTATCTTTTAAAGAGTTTCTATTAGGCTATTAGTTTCTATTTATTCTCCTATAGTCTAAAGTTTAATAGCTAGAACTACCCTAATTTATTTAAGGATTATAATACTTTTATAGCTATTTATTAGAAGGAATATTTTACTAATACTAGTAGATCTTTAGTATATCCTTAATATCTTCTTTATCTTAATATTAGTAATATAGGTTATAGTCTTTAGTAAAGTATAATTTAATTCTTTTTCTAGAAGATTATAGTTAGATTTAAGGCTAATTTATCTATAGAAGCTATTACTACTATAATATTAGTAACTATTTAAGATATTTATAATTTAGCAGATATTTATAGTTTACTTTAGTAAGCTTTTAGATTTATCTTTTCTCTTTCTAAGATTTAAATAGTCTTATTTAGTGTTAATCTTAGACTTATAGGCTTTTTCTTTATTATCTTTCTTTTTATAACTAATATAGTATATAAGATAATTTATTATTAAATTAATAGTATTTTCTAGTAGTATTCTATGGGTTTTAAGTATTAGTCTACTAGACTTATACCTAGTCTCAGAATAGAAATATTTCAGACCTATACTTCCTATTAATACGCTTAGATCTAATAAAAATAGTAGTATAAGGTATACACCTAACTAGATATTACTATAACCTATTTTAGGTTAAATATACCGACCTAAAACCTAATCTACAGAGTTTTAGGTTATAGTAGCTAGAACCTAACCTAACCTAAAACCTAGTAGATTATAAATAGGTAACCTATTTCGACCTATTTAGACCTATTTTGGTATAATTTTTATATAATTTTTTATAATTTTTATATAGTATATTTAAATACTAATATTATATCTTTTTATATCTTTTTATATCTTTTTTTTCTAGAAGGATTTAGATCTTAATATTCTATATATAGCTTTATATAATACTAATTATTTTATATTTAAAATTTAGGATCTAAATATTAAGTATTAAAAAAGTTATTAAAAAAGTAAGACTTTTTGTAAAGATATATATATAATCTAGTAGGGTATACCACTATCTTTACTATAGAACTCTGTAATTTATTTTATTTTTTAATATACTTTTCTTAACCTTTTAACCTGTAATATATATATATATATATATTCAATATAAAATAATAATATTACTAAATAAAAAACTAAAAGTACCTATATATAAGGCCTAAAAACAGACCTTATACAGACCGTATTTAAAAGCTTGGTATATTTATCCTGTTTACACCAAAATGGGGACCCACTGGGTCCCTATGTGGGTTTTGGGTTAAGGGTCTCAACCCAAAACCTATCAATAGGTTATAGAATTGGACCCAAAACCCATTTTGGGCTGGGTTGGGTTGGGTTGGGTTATGGTTGACATGGGTTCTGGCGATGTCTACTCCCAACGGTAATTCGCTCAGCGGCTTCCGCAGTACCATCGTTCAAATAAGGCAAGAGTGCGACCAAGAATATACATTTCATGTTGTCTCAGTAGAGCCACACCTCCCGCGCGCTATTTCCGTGGGCCATTTAGCGAGTCATACTTCGCTATTATATCGCTAACTCAGGTAGGTATTCATGTTGGATTTGTAAAGGATCGATAAGTACTAGTATTTGTAGGCCCCGAGTGTAGTACGTAGTGCTTAAATGCATTTTAGCCTGGAAAATGAACCTGCGGCCCCAAATGTATCACGCTATATCCTGAACAGTATGATATTCAGTTATTGATGCCAGGTGCATTGGCCAATCGTCAGCTTAAAGAGAAAGATAAGCGCAGACGGCGCAGCCACATTTCCTAAATAGTATAGGATGTTCAGGTCTAACATCTTATTCAGTACGATTTCTCTGACCCGGGGGCCATTGGGGGCCGCGCCGCCCCACGCCATGTCTACCCGAAGGAGGCTGTGTAACAAGGTCAACTCGAGCCCTATGGGCCCCCACCTACGGCAGCCGCCACTTCGCAATATTTAGCATCGCCCATGCCTCCGCCTATGCATATTTGAATGTTTTCGACTACCGTACCCCACGATATGCATAGGCGGAGGCATAGGCGATGCTAAACATTGCAAAGTGGCGGCTGCCGTAGTGGGGGGCCCATAGGGGGCCACTTCTTGAAGTTAAGTTCAAGTTGGCCCCAGAGATACCCGGAGTGGGGGCCGCTCTCCAGGGCTTGGCAGGGGCCACTTTGCAATATTTAGCATCGCCTATGCCTCCGCCTATGCATATTTGAATGTTTTCGACTACCGTACCCCACTTGCTTGCAGCGCTCATCCCTCTCCGAAGAAACTCTTTATTTCCGTCTACGCTTGGCTGAAACTAGCTCCATAAATTGAGCTCATTGTTTGTTCATTGCTTGCTCTCTCTTTCAAACCTGGCCAGGAAATACTAGTACAGAATCATTACGGGAGCTAGTCTCTTGGCCTCCAAAACTTCCCACAAACATGGACGAGCGCGCACCTTTCACACTGAGTATCTTACCGGTGGAAATTGTGGAAGAGATCTTGTCGTATCTGGACTTGGCAACTATCAAAGCATTACGTTTGAGTAGCCGTGCCATACACAAGGATTGCACAGGCTTTCGTTTCAAGCATTTTTTACGCCAGAAGTCATTCCCGCTCACACGATCTGGCCTGCAGTATATCCAAGATATAGTTACACACCCTATTTTGGGCGATGCTGTGAAGAAGTTAAAAATTTGGGCCATCGTATATGATCAAACCCCACATGTCAAAGTCATCGAATCCTGGAAGAAACAGCAGAAACAGCAAAAAGAGCATGATGATAATGACGATCCTAATCTCAAGCTCACTGAAAAAGACTCGGAGCTTTCTCAAGCCGAAGCAGATCTCAAATGGCTTCAAGCCCAACAAGAGCTTCAAGACGAAACTTCATACGACGAAACTGTCAAAGAGTTTAGCTTTTGTTTAGGTCAAATTCGAAGGCTTGATGAAATTGAACTCGACGCTGTGATCTGTCAAGGACCGGGCAATACAATGCCGACCGATGTTGGGAAAACTAACTGGTATCCCGTGTGGATGCGGGCGTCTCGCAATTATTGCATTGCTATGGAAGCTATGACACTGAGCAAAATTCAGTTAAAGAGTCTGAATGTCTACCAACGGACTCCCAGGTGCAGTGTTCCTTTATACGACATTGAGACCCACCTCGAGATGCTTCCTTCAGATGCGTTACATGACGTAGGCAAACATCTCCAGCGGCTTTCTCTAAGCATCTCGAACAAAGTTACCACAGGAGCAATGGATCGACCACCCCGAACGCCAATTCAATGCCATGAGGTAGCCTGGTATGGGAAAAGAAGTCCACACATGCAATATGTTTCCTCACTTGGTGGGGATCACTCCGAAGACGATGATAACTTGGACGGGCTTGCAAAGTTTCTGAGATTGACGCCAAACCTGAAATCTCTTGAAGTTCATTTTTACAACACAAGTCTCCCTGGGAGGCTTGCTGGCTCTCATCGGATTATTAAAAATATCAATCGCGAAACCCTGGTACATCAGCTTCGTGAATGTAGCCTTCAAGGTATCGGAGTTAGCCAAGACTCTTTGATTCAATTCCTCTCAGATCACGCACTCATTACTGATCTCACCCTGTGTCAAATCACTCTTCTTCAAGGGGGCTCATGGTGTCCCGTTTTCGCAGCTCTCGAAGAAAGAACGCCCCGTCTCGAGCGTCTTCATCTTGCGACACTGAAATGGGCTGGCGGTCACTCCGTCAATTTGCATCCCGTATGGGATGATCTTCCCAAGGAGCTGGAAGAAAGCAGACGCTCTTTTATCTCCTATGTCCATACAAAGACTTTTAGTGCAAAAGACATATCCAAGGGACTTAAGTTTCAAGAGATGCCATCGGAACCTCAATTTCAATCAACCTTGGAAGCTCAACAATGGCGAAAATCCGTGGCAATGCGTTATGGGTTGCCTTGGGAGGAAAGGCCGAAGTATGTTACTGGCAATTTTGGAAGGAGATATTGAGTTTTACTTCAAATAAAGCCGTTCTATTTCAACTACAGTGGAAATTGGCATTGTCGATAATATCATGAGATTTGAAAATTTGAAAAATCAAGGCGTAGTTTAGGTAACTATAAGCTTATATGTAGAATATTAAAAATTGATTGAATGCCATGTCTGCCCAGTCACTGCTGTCATTCTCAGCCGAGTCCTACCCAGATAATTATCAGGGTCGCATCGTTAACCAGAACCCATTCATTCCGAGTCCGAGTCCTTGCCAATTGATTATCATATGGCTCCCATAAATCACTGCCGGCAAGACCTGACTCTACCCAGAGCCTGTAGCTAGCTCTCCAATCCTCACAACCCTCCTCTCCGGCATTTACCGCTTGAGGGTCGTATTCGAAGAATATCTTTCCCATCTCCGACATTCCGAAGTCATCGATATTGTTAACACGGTTCTGATATTCAACGACCTGCGCAGTCAGGCCAGTAATCCGGTTTACTAGAGTCTGAATCTGGTCCACTTTGCCATCATAGCCTTGGTCATATTGATCGTGACCCGAGCTGAGGCGTTTGAAGATAAAAGCTTTAGCGTTGTTATCACCAGATAACTCAGCGGAGGTCCACCGGCTGACACTCGGCGAATCAATTCCACCATCACGAACGGTATTCAGACAGTTTTCTTGAAAATAAGCGTCTGAGCTTAGCGAGGAGAAGTCTCCATCGGGCCCAATCAGGGGCTTTTCCCAGATGTGCGATCGAAAAATGCCCTTTCGTGATACCACAACTATAGCCACACAACCGGAAAGCGTTCCAATTGCAGATTTGAAAGCTTCCCCCTCGAGCGCTTCAAAATCAGATTGAACCCAAGCGGAATCGTAGTCCATAAAGTCGGCTGTTTCCAGCTGCTGTGTGACATAGGCGGATCCGTCGCGTACTGGAGATTGAAGCGTTCGCTTCTCAATGTCTTCGGGCTGTCTTTTTCTGATAGACGATGAAGAAAGGTGTGATCTTTTCGAAGAGCTAGATTTCCCAGGAAACGAGCATTCTTCGGTTTGCGTATCGCTTTGGCTAACTGCCCCGGCAATATCAAAAGTAATTGAGAATAAAATGCAGAGTCCTAATAATAGGCTCCAGGAAAGGGAGAATGTCTTCATGCCGATTTGAAGTGAACAGGAAAGGCAACGATTTGTAGTATAAAGCGAAGAGAGGAACTCGCAAAGGCAAGGCCGACTGATGAGCCCTGGAGGGGGCAACGATCTTGCTGTGATATTTATAATATTATTCTAATTCAGTGTATTAAATTATACTAGTACTAGTACATACCTAGGTACCTACTTAGGTATGCATTCCATTTTCCAAAGGTCCAACCGGGCTTGGGGGCCGAACTTTCTAACCCATGGTTACGAATCGAGGTCATCCATGTAGTTAAATTATTCTCCACAGCGGGCTATGTAGCCCCCATTATTTTACGAAAAGGGATAACACTGCGAAGATTTCTGTTATGATCTATCAATAGAAAATGAATTTGGGTCTACTGGCGTTGATACTTTTCTGGCCTGGGCGATTACAAGAATAGGAAGCCAATTGGCATCCAAATTCAACCCAGCATAGCTACTGAGTGAGGATGCTGACCTGACTTTATCAATTGGACTGACTATATATTCCCCTAATTAGGGTTGTCTCGTACATACGACCATAGGGTGGAGAACAGGGGCTTCCCATTCAGCCGTACTGAAGCCACACGCCGGCAGGTTTGTAGTATGGTGGGTGACCACATGCAAATCCCTGCTGTTGTGCATTTTTATTGTTTCTTCTTTTCCTTAGCACAACTTCGTAGACAATATCGCTCAGCTCTACTTGATGAGGTATTCTGACCTTCTAATGGCCATTTTTATTCCTGTTACTAAGTCTAATATTTGTCTCTCTTTTTTGCCCTATACCATAATTATACAAACGGGGCCAAATATCCCGCCTTGGGGCCAAACATTCAGCCAAGGAGCTTGACCCACAGTGCGAGACCTACAGTGCGAGGCTGCGAGGCTAGCACTGGGGCTGTAATATATCGTAACCAAAAAGAGTAAGAAGAGCGACCAGAATTAATAGTATAGAGTAGAGTAGATTAACTTAAAATAAATTGGTTGAATCCGTTAAATTTACGGATTATTCTTCGGATTCAATTTGCTCGGCGGTAATCACGATGTTCTTCTAAAAGAGCAGCCTGTTCGTGCTGCTCTCTCTCTTGCAGAAGAGCAGTGCTATCAACCCTATTCAAGGCCCTACTACTGGAGACGTCACCAAATATGAGACCACTGTCCTAGGAAAGCCAAGCTTGACAGTCGTTTATGCTGATGTTGTTGCGCCAAGCGGCTCGACTGCCGTTATTGATTTTGACTTGTCAACGCCTGTGAAATCCCTATCATCCTCGACAAAGGTTTTGACAAGCCCGTCAGACTGCCCTAAAAGCTCTTGTCTAGTGACACTAATCCCTTAAATGTTTTCCCCGGGGGTTAGAACTTGGATCCAGCAGGTCCAGACTACTTTCTCAGTCCCTGTAGGGTCTACTCCAGTCATTCACTTCAGCCTTATTCACTATGGCAGCGTAGGCACTGGTACAACCGTATCTGCTAGCGGCAATAGTGACTCATCGACAGCTCTATCTCCGTCACTAAGTCCGTCTACTACACAGTCTTCTACCAATGACTTTGGTGGAACACTGCATCGTCGAATCCTAGCCCTACGCCATCATCAAATAGGCCATCGCTATCTGCAACCCGGGGTACAGAGACTGGTAAAGGGAGTTCCGGCTCAGGGCAAACCCCTGTGGCTACGTCGAGTACGTCAAACAGCTCGCCCTCTGGAGTGCAGCATTCATCTCCCAAAGATACTAGTACTAGAAATCAGCTCTAATATACTAGTTAAACAAGAAATATTTAGAGGTATATAAAGAGGTTTAGAAATAGTAGGATTAAGTACTTAGATATATAGAGGTCTGATAAAGTAGATATTAGTTATAGTATAGAAGAGAAGATAATACAGTATAATTATCTGATAATATAGGCCACAGTAATACAGAGAAGCTACTATTAGAGAAGAATAGTAGATAGGGAATAATAAAGGGATATATTTTAGTAGGGATAATAACTAGGATAAGTAGTTTAGATAACTAGTAAGGCCTTATCTGTATAGCAAAGAGTATTATAGTATAAGGCCAGAGGGGTATAGGTTAAAAAGGCCCCCTATAGTATCTTTAACAAAGTTATTATAGTTTTCTTCTAGGCCTAGGGCTGTTTAGCCTAAGGTTATTCTATACAGTATTACTGCTTTTCTTTTTTATTAGTTTTTTATATAGCTACTACTGTCTTTCTTTTATTGTTTTTCCTTCTATACAGTACCTTAGCATCCCTAGGCTATAGGGAGCAGTTAGAAACCATTAGCTACTAATCTGCCAGACAGCTCTAATAGCCTTGTTTGGCTAAGGTAGGCCTTAGACCAATACCCCAGTATAGCAGCTGTTATCCTAAGCAAGCTAGATACTGGGTAATTAAAATATTAATTGTCTGTTAGTTTCTAGGAGTTAATAGGTTTCTAAGTATACTAGATCTATCCTTAACTTTCTACTATATTTAGGTTAATCTATAGATACTATTTCTGTCTCTTATACTCTTTAAGCTATAAGTTAACTAAAGTCTAGCTAGCTTTTCTTACTACCTTAAGCTTCTGTATTTTATAAAGATTCTAGATTCTTTTAGTAAGCTAGTTAACCTTCTTATATTAGTTCTCTAGATCAGTAAAAATTCCTGTAATCTCTTTAACTATTTTCTCTATATACTGTCTTAGAAGTAGCTTATTCTTAGATACCCTCTCTAAGACTATCTCTTCTAAGAGGATTATCTTAGGTTATCTATCTTCTTAAGTAGTATAGAGCTACTATATCTTTTCTCTAGTTATATATAGCTACTATAACTTTTTATTATTCTACTTACTATAATATTCTTATAATATATAGTCTAGCTTACTATAATAAAATAGAGTTTATTATCTTTATAATATTTCTATTCTTTATAAGAGAGTCTTACTATATTAAGTTCTATAGGTTAGGGTCTATAAAGATCACTATATAATTTCCTTAGTTATAGTAGATTTCTATATTACCCTCTATAGTAATAAAATCCTTAGCTCTATAGTCCTTAGCCAGATCCTTAGTATACTTTATATTATTAAAGCTTTTACTTATAAAGTTAATTATTTTACTTAAGTTAGTAGACTAATTAGTTTATATAAGTATATCTTTAATATCTTCCTTAAGACTGTAATTAAATAACTAGATATAGGTATTCTTATTATAGTTAAGGTATAAGATAACTTACTAGAATTTAGCAATATAGATACTAGCTAAGCTAGTTTATCTAATTTACTTAAGATATCTTCTAGCAGTATATTATATATTAATATCTCTAAAGGTCTGTTTAAGTTCTTTTTAAATATCCTATATAAAATAAAGATTTCTTTAGTATTAGAACTCTAGTTACTTTGCTACTTTTTATTAAACTTATAAATTTAGGGTTTAAACTAATTAAATACCTATCTATATAAGTAGGTTAATATATATAGGACTTTATTAGCTTCTTCTATATAATAAATAATATAAAGCTATATATTTATCTGAATAAGGAATCCTTATAGCTTAGTTTGCTTACTGCTAAAGAAGTCAGATTTTAGTAGCTTAACTACTATTAGTTAGGTTTATTTAGTAGTTAGTTACTCCTATAGCTAGCTAATTATTTCTATAGGCTATTAGTTAGTTAGTATATTAGAAGAACTAGATCTTCTAGCAGATAATATATTGTTACTTAATACTATAATAATTAGTCTTTATAGTTTTGGTTGATAGGGTATTTAATATTATATATAGCTAACTAGTCACAGTAAATAGTTAAATTATTAGTAAATAACTTACTAGTTATTCTCTGTGTTATTAATTATATATAATATCTATTATCTATAGTCCTTAAGTCTTAACTTATAACTATACTATTACTATACTAAGCCTTATACAGACTCAGATCCTATAGAGTAACTTTTAAGAATATAGTATACTAAGTAAATTAATCTAAAGAGCTTCCCTACTTATAGTATATTTATTATAAGAAATAAAACTAAATAAAGAATAATCTAAAAGATATACTATAGTAACTTAGATTAATTAATTATAAAGAGCTAAATATATATACGTAAATAAGTATCCTTATATATTTAGTTCTCTATAGTATAGTATATTAGAAAGTATATCTAGTAGTATACCAGATTATATCCTTCTATCTACCTATTAGTATACCCTATAGTATACTCTATAGTTATATACAGATTCACAGATCCCTATATTCTATATATAATCTGGTAAGGATAAAAGACAACTGTTTCCTATATCATACTAGCCGTTGTATAGCCTAGTATAGTATAGTTTGGGATAGTAAATCAGAGACTAATTCTAGCTGTTACTTATATAATCTGATCTTGTACTCCTCTCCTAGGAACAGTTGGCTCTAGTAGCCTATCTGTAGGCTGTGGCCCCTTCTGTTGTAGGGTCTGTAACAGATTCTTAATCTATTATCTCTTCTATTAATCTTATAAAAATATAGGTATCTAAGTAGTATTAAGAGTCTGAGTAATATAAATAAGAGAGTTTATATGTAGAAAAAAATAGATTAAATAATATATATTCTATATTCTATAGTCTGCTTAATAGACTATTATCTTTCTAGGTTTTAGCTAACCTTATAGTACTTAATAGAGGTAAGATAGTACTTTATTATATTAATACTACTCTATTTTAATTCTAGATATAGGAAAGATTTTCTATAAGACTGATATATAACTATAGCTTTCTCTAAAGTATAATAAGCTATTTAGTTAAAGCTCTTCTAAATATCTAATATATATACTATTCTATTATAGTTATTATTATATTTCTAGATTACTACTATAAATAGTTGATCACTACTATTTGATAAATTTAGTCTTTAACATATTACTTATTATATTAAATAAAATATATAGCTTCTAGTAACTAATACTAATATATTAGAGGGATAAAAGTATATTAGTAGGTATATTAAGCTTAGAATCTACTACTAAGGTAATAATATATTAGCTT